CGCTCCGCCGCCGCCGCCGCTCCAATGTGGCGTCCCCCGCTCCGGAGGCAGACGCGGCACCGCGCATGCGCCGCCGATTTTAAACCTTCACCGCAGACGGCCGCCCTGGCAACCGCACATGCGCGCTGCGCGCCGCCGGCGGAGGGCGCGCTCCCGCCGCGCGCCGAGCCAAGGGGAAGGAGGAAGGGCGTTGGGCGGCCTCTCCCCGCTCCCCCAGTGCGCAGGCGCGCGGCGCGGCGGGGAGGAGGGCGCCGCGCATGCGCGGCGCGGCTGCCGTTAACCGATGTTGTGCCTGCGACCGTTAGAAAGTACAGGGATGATTTTGAGCAGTAAAGCGAACGAAAAGGGATTTTAAAAATGTACTGTCTGCTTTCTTTCTAATCCTGTGATTTGGCCTTTTCCTTAAACAGCTTCAGCATATGTGTGGACCAGAAGTTCTTTCCCCACACTGCCCCTCGGGATCTGCAATGGTCCAGTCAGTTGAATACAGCAGAACAGCAGAGAGAAGGGTTCATCATGCACAGTGACAAATACTACCTGGCAGTCTCAATTATGACATCCCTCATGGGCAGTTGAATAGTAATCGTGAGGGATCTAGTGGCTTCTGCTGTGACAGAAAAGGTCCCATTCTTCCTAACCTTCCCTAACCTGACCACACACTTCACCTTCACCCTTGCTCTAGCCTTGATATTGAGCAGTGAGCCAATATAACTTGTTAATCCAGAAAAAAAAAGTGCACTCAGAATAGTTTTCAGCATGGAGTAGCATACATTTTCACAGGAAATACAGCCACAACTCCCTCTTGGATGATTATATTTCAGTTTTAGCTTCAGCCAAATTCATCTTTGGTTTGGCAACAGTGACAATGCTGGATGGATTGGTAACTCTGTAGTTGATCACTTTGACAGTCCTGATGATGGCAGTGCCAATACTGTGAATACTTCTTATCCTCTGGTAAATAACAGTAGTAAAGCTAGATGTCTAGGGAGGATATATATACAAAACAATGTTGCCTACTGCTTGTTGTTAATCTATTTTTTAACAAACACTGTAAACTCATTAACACAAATAAAGGTGGGTATCTCAGTATCTCAGTATCTCATACCTTTAATGTGGTTTAACTTACCACTCTGAAAACAACGAGATGGAAATGCAGCATCCCAACCACATGATTAAATCTGCGCTCTGAAGCTCAGGATTGCCATGACTATGATTCCATAATGGTGACATAAATGCTGAGAAACTATGAGCGGATTTTCCAAAGGCTCGTGCTTTCACGCTTTTGTTGGAGTGTGACTCCAACATTTTCTCCCATATGACCATCATTCTAGTCACCCACCATCTCCTTGCAAGCCTCCAGCCCAGCACCTCCTCCAAACTCCCCAGCTTCATCCTCCTTTTCATATATTTTGCAGATGATATTGTGGATGGAGAAGACATAGGGGGAAGGACTAGCAGTAGGTGTGACCTGACACCTGTCTGCTGAAGGCACCAATAGCCAAGAACAGGGCTAACCACAATCTCTAGCTAAATGGGAGAGAGAAGGAAAGGGCGTCCAGCTAAGGAGGGCATCTGTAACATGTAGCCCTGAGAATGTGCTCTTCAACAGGAGGGGAGAAGGAGAGAAAGTTTCCTTAGCTGCTTTATTGTCATTCTTTTTTTTTTCAGTAAATACATAGGCAAGAGAGTGAAGACATGGCTTTCATACCTCAAATTGAGTTGATCATAATGGAAAGACAAGTAGAAAGATAGAACTTGAGTTTCTGGTTCTTAGAAAGCGTGATGTTTTGCCTTCTTTTTATCTGCCCCCCGGAAACACAGGCTTCCAAATACCAATTTTTGCTTGTTCAAAATGTCTTCTGTCTCCCATTAACGAAGGCCTGAATATCCCCAAATAGGCTAAAATCACATCACCTTCTTATCCTCAAATCTTCCACTTGGTCCAGCCCTTCCTCTTTCTTGGCTCAACATGCTCTTCTGATGAACACTGAGCTTTGCCCAAACTCACGGTGCTGAGGCATGTTCATCAAGACTGAGGAAGGCTGACAAGGCTGAAGCAGCTGTCAGCCATGAGCCATCGCTGTCCTCCTCCTCCTGCCTTCCACTAGTCTTGCAAACATTGCCAGCCCTTTGCCAGAGAAGCTTAACAGATGATAAATCAAGCGCTGAACAGCTGCAGCTTCTAGCCAGGCGTGGTTTATGCACATTAAAACCCTCTCCTAGCTACCCACATAAAATAGCTGAGTGCTAAGTGGAGGAAGTGTGGGAGGCGGCTCGCAAGGCATCCAAATGTGCCTGCAGGCAGGGCGGCACCTTTGGGGAGCCAGGCTGCACGGACAGCCACGTATGCGCTTGCCTCACGGCTAGTGGTTAATACACCTGATGAAACTGCCACAGAGGTGTTTCACCACTGCATGCTACGTGGATTTTTGGTACTTCAACAAAGGCAAGAAAAATGTGTGACCTTGGTATATGTGCCATTTTGTTTTCTGGATATATTTGGTGCTGTAAAATACTGCCTTTTTAATGAAAAATATATCTTGGCTTACTACACAGGAATTAAATATGTAACTGCATTTTTTATAGTTTTCTGTGACATCAAAACAACTAAATATTGTTCTGTTTAAGAATAGTCTATGCAAAAAAAATTGCTCATGTGCACTATTTTGCTTCCCTCCCTTGTCTGGAAGTGTTTTTTGGAAGTGTTTGTTTCTAAAAAATTCAGCCTTTAAGACTTGTCAGAGTTCTCAAGAGAGAATACATTGCCTGCACTGACACCTAATTGAATACAATTAAATCTTAAAGGCTTGCTTTATTCAAAAGCATACTTAGACATTGAAATTAAAATGTAATAGCAAGCATAGAAAGCAATTTAAGATGTTTTTAAAGATATTTTAAATTTTGTTTGTAGACCATTATCTGGGATAGAGGGATCATAAAAAAGTGAAGCTTATATTAAATATCTATAAATCTCTGTGAAATATCTTCCTAAGTAGGATCAGAAAAGCTGTATGAAATCAGTCTCCATGTATGAAATCAGTCTCCATAGGCTAAAGCCCTACAGAGAGTTCCTTTTGTAAGAACATAGGCTCACCATTGAATGAAAAGTTGAGAGATACCTTAAAGCGACTTTCATGAAATTTCATGGCAATTTTATGGTTTCTGAACTGGTCAGGATTCCTCTGTTACTCTTGTTTGTAATCCCAGGATCATTGGTAAGTTGTCATTCTCCAGGTTACTGTGTGGAACACAGCTGAGGACACACAGAACTTGCTGTATGGATCCTAGTAATGACAAGGGATCCCAATTCAGAACGTAGGTGCACATGCTTTAAAAATCTTAGAAAAAGTAAATTTAGCTCTTAGACCACCTGCTAGGAGAAGACTCTGTAAGTAAGGCATTCCCCCCTTGACAAATTGCTCCCCAGGAACATTATTAGAATAAGATTTCTTTCCTTCAGATCTGTTGATTGTAATCTTTTTGCTGAGAAGAGCAAGGTAGTAGAAGAAAAACAGGATTAAGCAAGTGGTGAGCCAAACTGGAAAAGCTAGGGAGATGGGGTGTACCATTTGTTTGGTGAGGAAGTGGTCTGGAGCCCTCATTTACCACATTAATGTGATACCAGATCCAGCACCGGCTGCCACTGCTTTCAGCCCGGGAGACTCCTTTACGCCTATCAGGATGACTATGGCTAGAATTAAGAAAGCTATCTCGTGTCAGCAGAGACTATCATGGTGAAAATGAAGCTTAGTTTTAATAGTTCCCAAGCTAGATCAAAGCCATATTTAATCTTGCTCTGATTTCTGGGAGCTGATTTATCTCCCCTGGTAAACTGCCCAACCTTTTTCCATGTGTTCATCCTGCTCACCAGTTGTCATCTGAAGGTAGCACGTGCGCATACCTTTATACACTTGCACTGCATTGCAGTGCAGCTCCCTCTCCATCCCTAGGGATATCGACATCCTACCATGTCCACCTTCCAAGCTACTCTTTTAAACTATGTTTGGGCTGAATTTGGACAGCTTGGAAGGATTTCAAAGGGGTAATGGTACAGCACCTGTATGAAAGTGCTGACCCCATGCATACTCATACTGGTTTATGCATATGTGAGCAGAAAGGAACAGGAGATGAAAGGAGAGCAGCATT